CATCCTGCCGCATCGGGGCAGCTGCCCTGACCACAGCTGCTTTACGCAGTCGGTTGCTGATTTTCCCCGGAGAGCAGGTGCAGACATAAAGACCCCAAAGAAGGCACATGGCTACTTCCAAGCTGGTCCCAGGACCCCTCAGCAGCCCCGGCGAGACTCACCAGCTCCTCGGAGCAGTTCCTGCACCCCTGGTACGTCCAGTTGAGGGAGAACTGCTTGTTCTCCACCTTGTAGCAGGAGTTGAAGGTGCAGGAGAGCTTCACGGAGGAGCCGTTCAAGGCGTTGATGGTGGGGGGGGCCATGACCTCCATGCCCAAGCCTGTGGGCGCTGCCGCAAGCACAGGGAGCGAGAGCAGAGATGAGACGGGTTAGAAAGGGCACAAGCAGCCGTCCTGCCGGCTGAGCCCCTCTTCCCATCCCACCCTCGCCCTGGGCTTGCCTTTCAGGCACATGCACGCACAGACCATGCTGCGGCCAGCCAGGACCAGGGCCACCCTGCACAGCAGTGACAGGGGACAAGGGGGGAGCAGCCCCAGCCCTGGCCCTGCTCTGCAAGGGCCGATGACCCCTCTCTGCCCTGATCGTGCCCAGTGCTAAATTCTGCTGACTCCAGGCAAGCCCCGCTCCTTGCCACTTAAATGAGGCTTTCCTGCTGCAGGATCGACAGCGCTGTGCAAAGGGCTGGATGCAGCATCAGCACGCAGGGCTCAGCGCCACATCCGCGCAGAAATTTCTGGCTGCGCTCATCAGATTTCATTCCCGGCAGGATGTGCTACAGCAGCGAGGGCTGGGAGCTGTCAGGACCAGTCCCCGGGGGCTGTGGGGGGGGGATGCAGATGCTCCCCCCACCCCGTGGTGTTCACACAAGGATTCTCCAGCCGGGAATGACTGGGCAAAGACCTCAGTGACTCCTGGGGGGAACAAAGCCAGTCCCTGCACCCTGCCCTTGCTGTGGCAGAGAAACAGGGGCATCACCCGCTGCAGCTCGTGGGGCAGGATGGCTCACCCGGGGCAGGGGCAAGGTGCCTGTGCCCTGCTCCCTCTTCTACTCCTTTCCCGCAGCTCCCCTAGTCTGCTGGCTGTCCTTGCAGCATCCAAAACCCAGCGCCTGCATCCAGCATGTTCTCCCTGCCTGCAAAGGGGAGGGTGGGCTCGCCGGGACAGGCTCCTGTGC